AAAAAAAAAAAAAACTAATTAGAAAATTGACCCACTTTTCAAACTATTTAGGAAACTAATCTACCTTTTGAAATCGCATTTTCAAAATGCGATTTTGAAATTGAAATTGCATCTTCAACATGCAATTTCACTTTAAAATCGCAAGTTGAAAATGCAATTTATGATGACATGGTGAAATTGCATGTTCAAGATGCGATATCAATTAAAATCGCATTTTCAACATGCAATTGAAATTGCATGTTGAAAATGTAATTTCAATTTCAAAATTGTGTTTTTAAAATGCGATTTCAAAAATAGGTTAGTTTCCCAAATTGTTTAAAAAGTAAGTCAATTCTCTAATTTGTATTTTTTTTTTAGAATATTCCTAAAAAAAACTCCAAAAACAACAGGGCGTGTTAGTGTAATTTATCCTATTTATTTTTATTTTTACTTGCGCACCTACTACTATATACAATGCCAAGTGAAAGAAATTAACAATTGTTTCGTACCTGCGACCTGAACCGTAGGGTTTTTTTTTTTTGAAGAAGATGATGATGCATCGTGGCAACATGAATCCTCCGCCTCCCTCCAACGACGAGGAGGAGAAAAAGAGAGTCGGTTTGCAACTTGTTATGGAAATTGCTTCCGTTCTATCATCCTCTCTGTCAAACACCACCACCCTCAATCTCATCACTCTCACCATTACCGCCTTCTTCTTCTTCAAAACTCGCCTACATGTGTCTAACGGACTAGATCCAGTATCATTGGTACGCTTTTCAAGTCTCCGACGACGATGACAATCAACAATTTCTCCACAACAACCCTCGTCTTCCATTCCACAAAGATCGGTATGATTTGGATTCTGATTCTGAACAATTTCTTAAACCCATATTAACTCCAAATTTGTATACGGTAGATGGTATTAGCTAGGTGATTCACAACACTTCATTTTACCAATTTGTTATTCAACATAAGGATCGCAAAAATGAATATCAATTGATTCGAATTGACCTTGATAATAATCCTATGGCCAAGAAATTAGAGATTCTTCCTCAATTGCCAATGCCTTAAGTCCAGATGTGCACACTTTGGTTCTGGCTGGCATGTTTTATTGCCTGGGTAGTTTAGAACCACCACCATCACCATGGGCCTTGGCTTTTGACCCCAACCCTAAATCAATGGGAGTCTCTACATAACCCTTGTCCAACTCCACCTTTGCCATATGGGATTTATAGTATATTTTCTGTAACTATACATGTTCCCAAGCCATGTATTCTCGTGGGTTGGCCTAAGGATAGTGTCCTTCGAAACAAAATTTGGGTAAGTGAAGAGTTTGAAATACCCAAAACCCGCTTCTTTGGTCCAGATGACTTAATGGGACATGCATTGGCAGTTGACAACAAATTGTATTGGTATTCAGCTCTATACACTCAACGTCGCTTAATTGGGTATGATTCAGCAAAGATGATACGGTTCATGGGCAAGCTCAAGCTCCATGACTATGGACAATTTTACGTACCTGAAGATATTGGTCCTCCTCTCTCTGAGCTTCGCTCATCTAGGCGATGACAAGTTCTGCTTATTTTGGTTTTCAGTAGTGCATCCCAACCCAACAACCATAACTGATGAAGAAGAGGAGGAGGTGGTGGTCCCCAGACCACTTAACATGTCCCATCTTTGCATTCACTGCCTGAAGTTTCGAGTTACTGATGGCAGCCGTCCCCCAAAGAGTGGAATATTTCCCTTGGAAATCTCTTCCATTTCATGTCAATCTTACTTAGTTGCTGAGAATTCAACTTATTTCGATAATGGCTTGGTGGTTTAATGCAAGCACATCATCTTCTTCTCCTTAATTTTACCTACTTCTTCATTTTTATTCTTCTTCTTCTGTTCTTTTTATTGCTTTAATTGTGATTATTATTATACTTATACATCACTACCAGTCTTTTTCATTTTAGCTGAAACAATAAAGTATGTATTAGTTGTGTTTGTTTGCAAGCCTTTATTGTAAAGGATATATAAACAATCTTGGAACTTTAACTACACACCTCTGTGAGAAAACTTCTGGAGAGGAATGACTCTTTTTTGAATCCTCTAAAGCAACTTGATTCTTAACTGTTCACAGTCCTCTGTCTTCAATCTAGTAGATATTAATGGGACCCCACATTATGTGACTGGTGGTATTTTACTCTCTGGAATGGACAAGATCAATCTCAAACTCTTCTGATTTTGCACTATCCACCCTAGCAAAAAACATAACACTTTCTTAAGATTCGGTATTAGCCCCAGCCCCACAGATGATGAAAAGATCATCTACCCACAAATCACCCACTAGGGGAGATATTTTCAATGTCTCCTTTGTTCTTGTTTACAGTATATAGACTATATACATCACAGTGATTTTACTCCACTCACTATGCATAATTGAAAGGTTTGTTAACTATCTTATACTCCACACTCACCCATGCTCCTCAGGTCTTCCTATGACATTAATCAAATTTTCCAAAAACAACACCCAAGTATCCTTTCACTCAGCCTCTACGACAGCAACAACCAAAGGATGCATTTGGTTGTTTGCAGCCTTTGCCACAGCATGCATGAGTTGGCCACCACATGGGCCCTTCTGCTAACAAGCATTCAAACCCAGACAATGTTTGAAATTGAGCCATTAACGAATAAAGTCAATTGAACCAGTTAGGGATCCATCAATTGAGAGACCTTGAGATCTGCTGAGCCGTGACGCCTAAGATGGTAATCGTTGTCGAAGAGAAGTCGTAGAACTGAATAGTGACCACGAAGCGCAAGTGGATGAGAAGCAAATTGTCACGACCCCATTCTGCCCCTAGTAGAATGGTGTCATGATGGCCAGTAATCCGAGATTACAAAAGGCCAACTTACAAAGTTCACACAATCAGAGTATACATATGGGGCTTACATGTACGGAAGCAATAAATTTAAATCTAATTAGTCCATATGAGCTGTGCATAGATCAAATGAAATGACATACATCTCAACATGGTTTTACAACTTGAATACAAATAAAATACAGTACATATTACATCTTGATCAAAAGGCTTCTCAAGCCGACATATGCAAAATAAATGAATTACAAAGCTAAGAAGCATAATCTTCAAGATGCTAGCAAAACATGAATCCAAAACAACTTGCAAATAACATCTAGGCATCACCGCCTTCTTGCTCGCCACCTACATATATATAAGGGGAGGATGAGCTTGAATACTCAGTGAATGATATTAGTAATAAATGTTTGAATGAATGATATTCGAGAACTTTATCAAAACAGTACATAGCATATCTTGTACCAAATCAAGGAATGAACCAAGTTCATCTACCAAGTCTTTCAAAGTTTCAAGGGATGCTTACTAGCATCGATATAATATAAGGGATGACATTCCTGACAAAATAAGAGAATAATCGACCCGAAATCGATTAGACAAACCCACGGGGCTTACATGTACGGAAGCAATAAATTTAAATCTAATTAGTCCATATGAGCTGTGCATAGATCAAATGAAATGACATACATCTCAACATGGTTTTACAACTTGAATACAAATAAAATACAGTACATATTACATCTTGATCAAAAGGCTTCTCAAGCCGACATATGCAAAATAAATGAATTACAAAGCTAAGAAGCATAATCTTCAAGATGCTAGCAAAACATGAATCCAAAACAACTTGCAAATAACATCTAGGCATCACCGCCTTCTTGCTCGTCACCTACATATATATAAGGGGAGGATGAGCTTGAATACTCAGTGAATGATATTAGTAATAAAGGTTTGAATGAATGATATTCGAGAACTTTATCAAAACAGTACATAGCATATCTTGTACCAAATCAAGGAATGAACCAAGTTCATCTACCAAGTCTTTCAAAGTTTCAAGGGATGCTTACTAGCATCGATATAATATAAGGGATGACATTCCTGACAAAATAAGAGAATAATCGACCCGAAATCGATTAGACAAACCCACCCGTACAAGACCGTCAGTGGCAAGGGAGATATCTCAAACAAGGGTACTAGTTGCATTATAGTCCCCTAGCACTAAGGACTTTCCAAGAATTTCATTAAAACAAGATAGTACTTGATACAAAACTAAGAATAATCATTCATACTTGAACAAACACTTTTCCAAAACGAAACAAGCAAAGTTTTTATCAAAACATTAGAGCATAACTTTATTAAAAATACCACTCACATAGCTCTTTGGTTGCAGAGATTAAGGCCAGAATCCAAGACCTACAAATACATGGCAAAGTCCACTGAACGTATTTCAAGAAGACAAGAAGTAATGCTCAAAGATGGTTGTGCAATGCATCCTTAAGACAAGCTCTACATGAGCATAAATGATCTCGGCATTTCTTTCAAAACTAGGTCAAGACAAAGCAAAATGTGTGCTGGGAGTTAAAATACTGTTTTTCATCTCGGGAAAACATGCTGTGTACCAACCAGGTCTTGGCCGAAGTTCCACACCTCTTGGCCGAGGTGTGGTCTCCTAGGCTTAGGTGCACATGCAAGATAGACTAAGGTGCAAGTGATCATGCAAGGTAGGCCAAGGTGAGATACGATGCTTGGCCTAGGTGTGATATCTAGGCAATGGTGGGTCTCGGTGACCACACTTAGGGAAATGAAGCCTGGAAAATCTAGGTTCCCTCTAGAAGAACATGAACATGAAAAACATGAAGAACATGAATGTTAAAATCATAATTTCTTTATTCAAAATCTGAGATTTCATGGCATGAGTTCAAAAACACGGACCTTGGTACCCATACTTGGAGATTTCATGAAAACAAACACAAAAACATGGATCTTGATACAAACTTTCGGATCAAAACAAGGTTTTTCTTCAAGAACACAAGAACATCGTTTTCTCTTTCTAAAACCAACTTTAAATCAATGCATGGCTCATAAATCATGCTAGATCATGCAATGTGATCAAATAAACATAAAGAACAACAAGAGTAAATCAAGAATCTAACCTTAAAACACGAATCAAACGGTTTAAACTCTAAGGATCAAGCTTGGAAATCTACTTCTCTCTCAAGAACTCCTCTCTCTGCCGGCTGACTTAACCCTCTACTGGGACACGTGGCAACGACTAGTTGGACCTTCTCAAAAAGGTGACAGAATGACAAGACAAGAATGTGACAAAATGTGTATGACAAGTAAGGCGACAAGGGCATTCTGACAAGGCGAAGATCTCAGGTTAAAGCATCGGCTTCGGCAAGAAGGGTCTCAATGATCTCGGTTAGGGAGGATAACACATGGCCCAAGTGTGCCACACCTCGGCCTAGGTTATACCAGTCCAGGAACAAGATCACTAGGTGCAAGGATCAAGGATGTCGGATGCCTAGATGATAACATCTCGGCCTGGGGTGATGCACACCTCGGCCTAGATGATGACATCTCGGCCAATATGCCAGGGTGAAGGTGGAGGTCAACCAAAATGGTTCCAAGACAGTCCTACGCATAAGAGGTTCAAGGGTAGAACCTAGGCTGCACACACCAAGCAAGGAACAAAGCATACAAGCAATACACATGGTAAATCACACAAGCACAAAACAAGACAGGGACCTTTACTTAGGTAAAACAAGTCGAAATCTACAAATGCAAGCTTAACAAAACAAAATCATGCAGATGCACATGAGCATGGCTAAGACGAGGATGAGGGTCATTACACAGATGGAATACGGATGGGTAGAGGGAGAAGAGAGAAGACAATGTGTTAGAGAGAGAAACAAAAGTGGAGAGAGAACAGAGCAAGAGAATTCTCTGGCCTTACTTAAATCGTGACGCGTTCATGTCCCCTGTCAATTACACCACGATTAGGGTTTGATAATTGCTAGTTCAAGTGACATCCTATTGCGGCAACTTAAATGCGGCGTTTTACAAACATGGTTGAAGGTCTTTAACACAATGTTTTTCTCAGAAACGTTGGCTAATATGCAGCATTTACAAATCGCTGTCTTATAAATGCTGCCATATGCAGTTTGTCTTGTAGTGTCGTTAACATTTTCCCCGGAATTGTTGCAAATGTCACAACAATCCATCAAAAATTTACCCCTACTAAGATTATTAGTCGTTAAAATAGTTTCACATGTTCAGCCGTCCAAGCAAAGAATGCCACTTTGTGAGGAGTCCTAGAACACCAAATCCCCCCTCTCCAAGGGAACTCCACATCACTCCCCCTCCCTTTGTTTTGGGATTGAGATGTTGGCGTTTAAGCTCATTTTTCGCTTACTCTAACAACTCTCAGATTCCCCTTATCATTTTAATCTTCTTTTGCTAATGAGTGGATTGATTGCATTAGATTTTCTCCTCTACAAGAGATGTAAATAAACATTAAAAACACAATGGATAGCAGTCACAATTCCCAGAAATGGTTATATTTGATAAAGTTGGCAGAATCATCATTCTGTTTCAAAGATGCCCAGCAACACCAAAAACAAGAACGGATTTTTAAAAAAAAAAAAACTGATTAAAGTTTCCTGTGTGTTACAAAACTACAGCAAGAGCCTGGTAATCAGAGAAGTACTACAACCACATAATATACCGATATATCTAAATACTTTTTGATATACCCAAAGGAAATATATCACATGATTGTGGATATTAAATACCTTCGCCCTACAACTGACTGCATCTCCGAGTTTTCCCTCTTCTAAAGCTGTTTTTGATTGTCTGTCGTCCATCTGCAGATGAGCACACTGCATGCTGCCGCAAAGAAATGGAGAATACAGAGCACTGACCAATTCAGTGTCATTATTCTACCAAGCAAGTAACATGGCGTATTGCATTGCACTAACACTAATAATAATGTCTACTTTCCCGACATTTCTAAAACACTGTTAAACTGTGAAAAAAACACCAGTATGCAATGTTTTCGCCAACTATGCTGCCGTCATCTTAGGTTTCCGGAATCTTTTTGTTTAAATCAAGAAACACAAAGAAAATAAACCCAAAAAAAATAGAGGAACAAGAAGCTTCCTTACCCATAAGATTAACTCGTTGAACCTATGGAATACAACAGAAGCCAGATCATTTCTAGAGAGCAAAAGAATAAAAAGAGAACATACTGGGAAAAATTTTCACAACCAAATTAATTGAAGTGCTGGAACTATATATGAAACTTAACAATTAATGAAGATAAAAAAGATAATTCCATTATTAAATGAATATCCATCAAATTATCTGAATAGAAATTAATTATTAAATGTTTCATTATTCATTCTATCATAAACAGTTACAAAAATACGTGACAGATGTTCTCAAAACAGAAACTAAAAGAAAAATATGTAGAAATATAACCTTAGACTCTCCCATCTTTTTTATGCCAAATCCAGAAAATGGAGTGGTCGTGTCAAGATGCTCAAGCAGCCCATCATAGTGTTGGTGCTGATCCAAAAGATAGATCTAAAAATCAATATAGGAAGAGGAAAAGAAACAAACTGCATATCAGCGAACAAATAAATCCACCCTAGCTGCAGTTAAAGGTGGGTGATGACAAGATCCAAGAAATACTGCTGCTGTCCATTCCACAGTGCCCTTCCTCTACCTCTTCCTCTGCTGCATCCCAAAGGAATTGAGCATATGAAGCTAGAATATAACCGGTTGAAGAAGGTCAAAGCCACAGACAAAAGCCAATTCACGGCAGAAAAAATAGACTTGATCATAATTAATTACAAGTTATAACCCTCATTTAAAGTAAAGCTATACAATTTCCTTCTGCCCTCGATATAGATGACACCAGGAGCCACTTCTCTGAAAATAGAAACCATGAATTGAACCAACACAGCCCGCAACTGTGAAGATTACTTGGTATATGAACAGAGATGAAATTCCAAACAACTCATTTTATATATGTCTAAAACATCCCAATATGTGGAGAAAGCGACGATTTTAGTTTGCAAGATGTAATTCATAGATAGTATTCAAGCAATAATTGTTTCAGATATGAATCTAACAAAACAAGAGCAGAGCACTGTATTCTTTATAAACACCATTTAAGGCCATTTTTCTTGTAGTGACAAGACCTACAATATCATACCAAACTCTTTTCACTCATAAAAGTTTTCAAGAAATACATCTTTGCATATATTTACAATTTTTTTCCCCAAGCAAGAACTCTTCTTGTAAGTTAGTGACTTCATATGCATTCACCAAGAAGTCATGAACAGTGGTGAGTCCAAAGTCCTCCATGCCATCAAGAAACATGTGATATGTCCATTGATTCCTGTTAACAAAGAGATCTGACTGGAATTTGATTGGATGGACAAAGCTATCAAGCGAAGTCTCACATTGCTCGAGTACAAAGGTAATGTGTAGTATAAGCTTGAGGGCATCATCACCTCAATAGCTAGGTTTTGGCGTTGAGTTCTACCCAACACTCTGTAACATGGTAATCATCAGAGAAGTTCGCATGCAGACCAAGGACACACACCCTACCTATCCCTAGGTACTCTGGCTCTGATATCACGTTACATGGTCTTGGATAAAACTCAACCCAAAAAGTTAGCTCTTTGGGTGGGGTGCCCTCACGCTTATCTACTACTACACATTTTATTTTTATTTTTTTTGTGCCTAGGCAATGTGGGAGTTTGCTTCACAAAAGCATCCGATTTACATGTATTCAATGTCATGTGAAAATTTTAACACATAATTAAAAGGCCGCTTAGCTCAAAAATAAAAAATGAGACAATTCTCAACTTAACCAATTCAATGGCAGCCTTCATTTCTCCAGCTTCAAACCATCCTAAATGTGTTTCTCTACTAGGCACTAGTCATGGTTGTTAATACTCTTATATAAAACAGATTCATGTGTCCAAAAATGGGTGAGGATAACTTCTTTTAAAAATGCAGGCCATTGCCAAAAGTTTGGAACTCGGGCCAACATCAAGTACCTTTATGGCATAAGCCAGAGAGAATTGCGAATTTCCTCGCTTTTTTTTTTGTTTTGTTTTTTAAGCTGCAGAGATTCCATTCATATCTCTTCTTTAAAACTATGTCCAGCTGACTCCAGACGAGAGACTAAACTTTTTACAGGATTGATTTAATTGGCCCGTTTTCGGGGTCTCCAACCATAAGATCTAATGCAGCAGCAACCACTGCCTGCAGAATGCACTTAAAAGCTCGAACTATCATCTCATGAATACAGAGAAACTACCCATGGGATAACTTGTCCGAAAGCTTAACCTAGTCAAGAGAAAAGGAAATAGCAATGGTCACTCAATATAGAATGCCCAACATGCAGTACAGTTTGTAGTTTCAAATTATAGTCCTCATCTTCTCAGCTCATAACTAAATGAGTTATATAATCCTCCACAGGTAAGGAACCAATCAATGATGGGATACATTGTAAGTTAACTGGTTGCAGTGGGAAAAGAATGCTAAAAATGTGAATAGAGAAACCAAGATGAATACTAAACTTTGAACCTACAATCAACTATCTTCTCTTTTAAATAACATAGGAAATATCATCTTGATTATTGGGAATGTTTGTGTTCAAAAACACTGGAAAGGAATTGCAGGAGTTATTATATGCTTATACATAAACATATGCGACCATGACACTAAGCAAGTGTCATTGTCCAGCACAATAGTACTCTATATGTTGATCGTTTTGGCATACGTCAAACAAGACCTGCAACTGGTTAGGACTAGGCATATATAGATCAAATCAAAGGAAAATTAAAAGAATTTGAAATGACAGTTACAAAAGTATTTTTGTTTTCTGTATGGCCCCATCTTATAAGAAAGATCATAAAGGGGGGGGGGGGAAAGAACAAGTTCACTCATTTGATAACATGGTCAGTTGCATGTTTTATGTTTCAATTTTTATTTTTATTTTTATTTTTTATTTTGTTTATGGAAAATGTCTTGTAGCTCAAATTTTGTGGCTCAAAAATGGCTCAAATGGCCAAAACGACGTCGTTTTGGCCATTTTTATGTTGTTCTGTACTCAAAACGACGTCGTTTTGGCCATTTGAGCCACTTTTGAGCCACAAAATTTGAGCTACGTAGCATTGTCGTTTGTTTATAAAATGGAAAAACAAGAAAGAAAAACCAAAAACTTGGTTGGTGTGCATAATGTTTTGAAAATAAAAACTAATAAACATGCTTGGTGATCGGCAATGAGGGTGCCGAACTTGTTGGGCAAAGTGTTGCCAAGGATCATAAGACAGTGACCGTTACCGGAGCTCATAGGAGTGTCAGTGGCAGGCAATTAAAATATCTTATTTTTTGAGGAAATTAAATCACATGAACAATTATAAATATTTAAATATGTAACTTCATCCTAGCCCTAGCAATTAATTTAGTTTCGCGTGCTTCATACCTATGAAGCACGGGTGCGGGTACCAGTACGGTACGGTACGGGTACGAGTACGCCGATACGGAAAAACTCAAAAAAAATATGATACGGGTACGGTTGCGGTACACCAATATTTTTTTTATTATATATAATTATGGTTGAAGCAACCTACAAATTAAAATTAAAATTAAATATCAAAACTAAAAAGAGAACTACTTATTTTTCTATAATTTAAAACCATTAAGCGTTAAAAATAATATTTATGAAATCTCTCACTTTGACATGTTATACACTGTGAATCTGTGATCATAATTTATTTTTAAAATCTTTCTTCTTACTTATCAATTTGCTATTTTTATAGGATGAGACCAAAGAAAAATTTAAAGTTAATTGCCAACAATAAAGGAAAAAAAATTCTCAATTGAGGCAGGTTGTCAATTGCAATTTGCATAATACATAAAATTGCATCATTCCCAACCACTACTAATCAACTAATACAGTATCAATTTTTAATGTTTTGTACATAAACTTTAAAAGTTTGTTATGATTAAAGATTTTATAAAGAAATTTTAAGAGAATATGAAGCAAAAGCATAATGCATAGTCATACACAGAACTGCCCTTTATAAGCCTTGTTATTTATTTTTTTTTGCTCAAATTGCTTTTTAAAAACATCAAAATCATTTGCTGATGTGCTTATACAATTCATACAAACAAACAAGACAGCAGAGAAACATCAAAATTGCTGATCTGCAAGGGCGCGCGCGCACACGAAAAAAAAAAAAAAAAAACAGAGAGATGAAGAACACTCACCGGAGGGAAGACAAAGAAAGGAATAGAGAAGATGAAAACCACTTGCTGATCTGTAGAAAAAAATGAAGATGAAGACGAAGATGAAGAAGAAGGCGAAGAACACTCACCGGAGGGCTTCGAAGTGAAGAGATGTTGCTGTCTGAAGAGGAAGAAGAAGACGACGAAGAAGACCTCCACTGTTCTCTTTGCTGTTGCTGAAGTGAAGAGATGCAAACGGGGGACAAAACCTAGGTTATAACACTGTTTTTTTTGTTTTTTTAATAAAGAACTTAAATAATTTGCTCCGGTACCCCTAATTGTCTTAAAATTTTGATTTTTGGCCCTGACGTACCCAAAACGTACCAACGGCATACCCATAGCGTACCCACGCCGTACCCGATTGAACCAAACATACCGGACCCCGTTTTTCCGTACTCGGTACACGTACAGTCATACCGGTACGTATACCCGCACCCGGCAAGTACCTGGTACTCGTACAACACTATTTTTGGAGTACCCATGCTTCATACTAAAAGCAATAATTAAAAGGGACTTACATGAATGCATTAAATAAACCACGTACAAAATATAATCCATTATTCTCCTTCTATGCTTAGATATACACAAGAAAGTTTCAAAGTTGTAAAAGACTTTAAAGAGTTACATATTGAATGGAAGTTAGACATATCTATAAGCTGTTGGATGCTACCTAATCTCTTCGGATAGAAACCTAATCTCTATGCTTGCCATTACATATATAATGGAAGTTTGTTAGATGTTGCCTAGTCACTTCGGATAGAACTTCCACACTTGTTGTGAACAATGCATTACCACCTGGCTCCTATTGTTAAAAAATAAAATGCTTCGAATGTTGGGATCAATGATGCATTACCACCTGAGAAATTGTAGAAACACTACATCCTAAAAGGCTTGAAACCACCTAAGAAAATTGCTGCTAAAAAATTGAAATTGTAGAACAAAAACATGAAATTGTAGAAGCGCCGCCGGAGAAATTGAAATTTGTAGAAACGTTTTAGAAACCACTTGAGAAATTAAAATTGTAAAATAAAAAGCTTTAATCAGGTATAAAAATGAGGTATAAAGCTCCACTAACTACGTTAGGCACCGTGATATGATTTGTTGCGCCTATTCAATTATAAAAATAAATGTGATAAGACTAAATAAAATATAATTTATGAGTACAAAATACACACTATATTGCGGCAAGACGAATACTTGTCTTAACTCTTAACATGCTACTTAAAACTAAGCGACAACACATTTATCAATATAATTGAGGTAGGACCACTTGAGACTTTCAAGCAAACAAAGGTTGCTTCTAGCAAATGTGTACAACAATGTATTATGCACGTGGTACCTGCATGCAATTATATTTGAGTAGAACACTGAAAAACAGAGGCTTTGTTCCATTTCTATTTTTGTCAATTGAAGAAAGGAGGCAAAGA